TAGTTAGATTTTCTTATTTAACCAAGTCTCTGCCTTTTATTTTAGTTGTGGAGTTAAATTATTTTTATTTCTTTTTCAAACTGATGAGTTCAGCCTTATTGCTATCGTTTTGTTTCATATTTTCTGGCGAGTTTGAGGCAGTGTTATTTTTTTTTTTTTTTTTTTTTGCCGTTTCGTTCACCGGTTTATATCTTTTGCTTTTTTCACTAAATGGCTGAACCAGAATTTAAACTCAAGAATCCTTCCTTCCTTTCTCCCTCTTCCCTTCCCTCCGTCCCTCCCTCCTTCCTTTTTTCCCTCCCTTCCTTCCCTCCCTCCCTTTCTTCCTTCCTGTCCTTCATTTATAATTTTCTCAAATTTTTTTGCAGCCATCATTTCAAGAGGACAAGGAAAGTCTGCTGGATTTACCCATATTTTTACTTCCTTTTGTTCTTTCTTCCTTCCTGAGGTTTCAAGATTTCTTCTGTTACCATTTCCCTTCTGTCTCAAGAACTTCCTCTGGCCATTCTTCTCAGTGTAAGTTGGCTGGTGACAAATTCTCTTATTTCTTCTTCTTTTGAGAATGTCTTTACTTCCCCTTCATTCCTGAAGGATAGTTTCACCGAATAAAGGATTTTAGGTTGACAGTTCTTATATCCTTTGAAATTACACCATTTCCTCCACAGTTGCTGGTAAGAAAACTGCTACCATTTGAACTGTTTTTTCCCTGTAAGTAAGGTATCACTTTTTCTCACTGCTTTCAAGATTTTTTCATTGTTTTTAATTTTCAATAGTTTGATTATGATGTGTTTTGTTGGGATTTTCTCAGGTTTATCCTGCTTGGGGTTCACTCAGCTTCTTGAATCTGTAGGTTTTTGGCTTTTGCCAAATTTTGGGAATTTTTGGTTATTATTTCTGCAAATATTTTTTCAGCTCCGCACTCTTTTGCCTTGCCTTCTGGAATAACATGGCATTAGGCCCTTTGTTATAGTCCTTCTTGGAGCCCTGGGGGTCCGTTGTGAAGAGCTTGGCTGCTAACCAAAAGGTTAGCAGTTCAAATCTGCCAGCTGCTCCTTGGAAACCCTATGGGACAGTTCTACTCTGTCCTATAGGGTCACTATGAGTCGGAATCGACTTGACGGCAACGGGCTTAGTTTTTTGGTTTTATGAAGGTGCCCTGGTGGCGCAGTGGTTAAGCACTCAGCTGGTAACCAAAAGGTTGGCAGTTTGAACCCACCAGCCACTCAGAGGGAGAAAGATAGGCAGCTTGCTTCTGCAAATATTACAGCCTTGGAAACCCTATGGGGGCAGTTCTACCTTGTCCTATAGGGTTGCTGTGAGTCGGAATCAACTCGATGGCAATGGGTTTGGTTTTTTTTGGATAGTCCCACATGGGGCTCTGTTCCTTTTCTTCCCCAGTCTATTTTCTCTCTGTTGTTCAGACTGGATAATTAATATTGCTCTGTCTTCAAGTTTACTGATTATTTTCTCTGTGCTCTCCACTTTACTGTTGAGCCCATCCAGTAAAATTTCAGTTCTTTTATTGCTCAATTCTGTAAAATCCCCATTTGAGTGTTCTTTATAGCTTCTATTTCTTTACTGAGACCTGCTATGTTTCATGTGTTTCAAACACGTTTTTAAATGCCCGTTGCAGCATTTTCGTGATGCCTACTTCGAAATCCTTGTCAGATAATTCCAACGCCTGTGTCATCTTAGAGTTGACATCTTTTGATTGTCTTTTCTCATGCAAGTTGAGGTTGTCCTGATTCTTGGTATGATGAGTGATTTTTTTTTTTTTTTTTAATTTTGGATAAGTACGCGTCTTAGTTATCTAGTGCTGGTATAACAGAAATACCACAAGTGGACGGCTTTAACAAACAGAAGTTTATTCTCCTCTCACAGTCTAGGAGGCTAGAAGTCCGAATTCAGGGCACCAGCTCCAGGGGGAGGCTTTTTCTCTCTGTTGGTTCTGGAGGAAGGTCCTTGAGATCCATCTTCCCAGGTCAAGGAGCTTCTCAGTGCAGGGACCTGGGTCCAAAGGATGTGCTATTCTTCTGGCTCTTGTTATCTTGGTGGTATGAGGTCCCCTTGTCTCTCAGCTCACTTCTCTCTTTTATATCTCAAAAGAGATTGACTTGAAACACAATCTAATCTTGTAGATTGAGTCCTGCCTCATTAACATAACTGCCACTAATCCCATCTCATTAACATCCTAGAGACAGGATTTACAACACATAGGAAAATCACATCAGATGGCAAACTGGTGGACAATCACACAATACTGGGAATCTCGGCCTAGCGGGGGACATAATTCAATCCATAACAGTACATTATTATGAGACTTTGGGTCTTATTTAAATCTTCTATTTTAGCAAGCCTCCTCTGACCCCATGCCAGTGGGGAAGGGCATGCCACCGCATTGCTGCTGGGTGGGGGGTGGAAGTCCAAGTTCCCCACCCAGCCAGCCTCTGTGGACACTCAGGGAGGGGGGTGATGCCCTGTTAATGCCAGGTGGGGATGGAAGTTTAGGGTCCCCACTAGGCCTCCACTGCCCCTGAGAGGAGGTAGGTCTGATACCACCCAGTGGGAAGGGAAAGGGTGCCACATTACTGCTAGGTGCGGGATGGAAATCCAGGCTCCCCAAGTGGCCTTCGATGACACTGTGGGAGGCGGGTCTTGTCAGTGCTGAATAGGCTCTCATGAGGCCTTCCCTATCGCTATCCCAGCAGGGAGGAGGTGGAATCCTTTGCTGATAGGGGTGACTGTAAGGTGAGACTTCAGTTTTATCTATGGTGTTTGACTGATGCACAGTGGTGATTGTCAGAGTTTTCTGTCTAGCTAGGCTCCCCCTTCCCTAGTCCTTGGCTAGTAAGAGTAGATTTCTACTGGGACTTTTTCTGTCTGTGCCCATTGGTGTTCTGGGGTTGTAGGCTTCCCTAGCTCCCAGTTTGGGATAAATGGGGCAAAAAGGGACCCCAGAGAACTCACCACCATGTACTTCTCAGGTTCTGAGGTTCCTAGTTGGTCTGCCTTCTTCTGTCCACCTTTCAGCATCTTCTTATGTTTGATTTATACACCATGTCTGGGATTGTAGCTGTACTTAGGGGGGAAGTAGGGAAAAGGGCATCTACTCCATGTTGTCTGAAACCTGAACAAGTCTTTTTATATCTTCTAAATACCCATTGCCAAGTCCATTCTGACTCACGGAGACCCCATGTGCTACAGAGTCCAACTGCTCCATAGTTTTCTTGGTTATAATCTTTACAGAAGAAAATTTCCAGGCCTCTTTACCATGGCACCACTGACTGGGTTTGAACCACCAACCTTTAGTAAAGGAGTGCAAGCTGTTTGCACCACCCAGCAACCAAACTATTTCATCTTGTCTAAAATATTTATTTCATAAGAATTTTTTTAAAAGATTAGATGATTCTGGTGAAAATTAAACCATTCCTGAAGATTTTGGGGAGACAGAAACCCACCCTCTGCTTCCCTCTTCCCCAGGCAGGATTGCCGTGTCCTCTCCTCCCTCTTCCCTGTTTCTCTCCTACGACCCCGAGTAAAGAGCTTTAACCAGCTCCTGCTGAGAATCGGGCCAGGTGCAGGAGAGGAGCTGGCTGTAAATCATGCTACGTTCAAATTTGTGTGATGGGGAAGAGGGTTATTAAAGGGTTTTGATATTCATGTCGTTGTTGGGTGTTGCCAAGTTGATTCCAACTCATAGCAACCCCATGTGACAAAGTAGAACTGCTCCATAGGGTTTTCTTGGCTGTAATCTCTATGGAAGCAGATCGCCAGGTCTTTTCTCCTACGGAGCTGCTGGGTGGGTTCAAACCGCCAACCTTTTGGTTAGCAGCTAAGTGCTTAGCCATTTGTGCAACCAGGGCTCCTTGGTGTTCATAATATTTAAAAATTAGTATAAAACTTTGTAAGGAGCCCGGGTTGCGCAGTGGTTAAGCACTCGGCTGCTAACCGAAAGGTCGGAGGTTCTAACCCACCAGCCGTTGTGCGGGAAAAAGATGTAGCAGTCTGCTTCCGTAAAGATTTCAGCCTTGGAAACTCTATGGGCAGTTCTACTCTGTCCTACAGGGTCGCTCTGAGTTGGAATCGACTTGATGGCAACAGGTTTGGTTTTGGTTTTGGGATAATACTATGTGGAGGGTCCTTTCCCACAAGCAGTCATGTGCAGAGACTTGAAGGAGAGACCATCTACCAGCCCAGAGGGATGTAGTTAAAGCATTTAATAACCAGGATGGCCTTACTGGCACGAACCAGCTGAATACCAGCCTAGTCTACGATAGCGTCAATATTTTTTTTCTGTAAAAAGCAGGGAGTTAAACCACGAAGATGATGAAAATTGTTTAATAACACTTCTAATGACAAGCAATACATAATCAGAGTCCAAAAAGGATAAAAGAAAAAAGAATTATCTGATATTTGTTATCCCTTCCCATAGCTAAAGCAAGTTGATAACCACAAAAAAATCACAATTAAAATCAAGTGGAAGAGACTACCATTGCCATTTTTAAATGTAAACTTCCTTCGAGGAGGAGAAGGCCATTAATTCCCCGAGAGATGCAGTCCATAGCATGGTGGCCACAAGGTACATGTAACTCTACAAGCCTCTCATAATCAGAAGAACAAGATAATTCAATCCCTTAAAGTACACACTAGTGTTATAAAGGAACACACCGAAATTTTAAGAGCACAGTCACAGTTGGATATTTCCAAAAATCACTCCGCACGTAGCAATGCAGGGGTCTTGGGAGCTTTTGGCATTTGATGATACTTGAGAGCAGAAGGCAGCTGGAGGAATCATTTATAGCTGTGGGAAAAACTGCAATGACATTTTTAAAAGCTAAGAATAACTCATGTCAAAAAAAAAAAAAAAGACTATTCAGAGAAGCACAGAAGAAATTGATTGAGTGAATGAAGGCCAGTAGAACATTCTTTTGCAGGTATTTGGCTGAGTGAGAAAAAAGCTGGGATCCGTAAGGTAAGAGGAAGGGACTGGACGTGTTGGGAACGAGTTTCCATGTTAAGATCAGTTGTCAGCGCTGGGCTACTTGCGGCCCTGAGGGATGGGAGGGAGGACCGGTTTGGTGTTGGCACCTGGAAGACAGACGACTGGACCTGTGTGCTTTCCGCACTGGGAAGAGTCTCTTTCATGAGAAATCAGTCGTTTAGGTAGTGCTGTGAAACCTTAAGAAAAAGGACACGTTCATACAGTTAACTCTTTGCTTTCGCTAAACAAAGAAAATAAGCATTGCATGATATAAATACCAGAAAATTTTTAGAAGTCATTCATAGCAAACTTTTAGGAATGCAGGACTCCCAGACAAGAACAACAGGGGATGAAGTTCAGAGCATGTCATCTGCATGGCTGGGCAAGCCTTGGGTTGTTTAGACTCGGGCTCTTTGGCCCCATGACCAGAAGGTGGCTAGAGCAGGCTACCTTCCACCCAGCTTGGACCTTCTGTAACCATGCGCCCCAACATACTCTTTCACAATCATACACACGCAGACTCAAGCATGTACATGCACACACACACGCACACATACACGCACACACACCCTGCAGCCCTTCCTAGAGAAACTTCATCTAATACCGCCAGGTTTGCTTGTACAAGGTTGGTCTGTTCACCAAGGCTGACGGCATCAGGAGCTGGGGGTCTTCTGGGACCGTGGAAAGCATGAAGAGTTTGGAAGACAGAGGCTGAGGATGGGGGCATGGTGGCCATAAAGAAAGCAGGATTGTTAGTGGGGAGGAAGCAGTGAAGCAGGGTCGAGACAGTGGGCAGAAGGTTCTACAGGGAGCAAGAAAAAAGGAGTGACAACCAAAAAGCTTGACTGCACTGGGCAAGTCAAAGCACCTCAACACGTTCAAGGCAAAATGGACCTTCTTCAGGCATATTCTAGAGCAAGGAAGTCCTACTGCTTGAGAAGATGATATCAGGTTAACAGAGGACAGACAAAAAGAAGGCTTCTCCTTGTGTGCTTTTTTCCCACCATGGAGATATTTTTAACCTGGAAAAGGGTCAAGCGAACGTCCTAAAAGAATAAAAGGCCTGCAGAAGAAGCAAGACAGTAGAAGAGGTTGTCTCCTTTCTCGATCGGTTCGTCTCCAGACTCAGGTAAGTTCCATCCCAGGTACTGAGGTGACATGCATACGTGTCTCAGAGCGCCTGGCCTTTGAGCCTCATTGACAGGGAGGAAAGATTGGAGACAAATGGTATTGCTATTTTTAAATGGGAATACACTTTTGCAAACTAGCAAGTCTAACTTTAAACTTTAGCAAGTTCTAGTTTCTTAACCAGATGGTTTGTGCATTTAGAAAATGCTGGGGTGCCCGGCCCCTGCCCCCTGTAGGCAGTGGGGTCAAGTGGGCAGAGCAGCAGCTTTGCTCTGCTCTTGCTCTAACCCGCTAAGTGAGCTTGGGCACATCACTGGCCTCTCTGAACCTTGGTTTTTCATCTATAACAATGGAGGAGAAATAACCCCCCTGCCCCAGAGGGGCGAGTCTGACAGAAAACGTTCACTTGATTCAAAAAGAATCAGTGACAGGAAAATAACTGAGGAGAGAACCATGTGAAAAACGATGCGAACCTTTTAGGGCCTGGGCCCCCTCGCCATCGCTCTTTCCTGGTCCTGGGCGGGAAGAAAGGCTGCCCTCTGAGGGGTGCAAATGTCCCTTTGACCACGGACGAGACTGGGTTAATCCAGAACATGTGCCGGCATCAGAGGAATCTTCATCACTGCCAAGTGAAAAACGAATGATCTTTTTATATATATATAATTTATTTTATTTTTGTTGTTGAAAATATGCACAGCAGAACATACACCAATTCTACAGCTTCTACAGGTACAATTCAGTGGTGAATGATCTTTTTGAGATGCAAAACTATAATGGCCACATGACCTATTCCTATGACTTCACTGGGTTCCCTTTATCAAAGTTCCGTAGTTTGAGGCGGTGTCTCTGTTGAGCTGAAGTTTGAATGGGATCTGTAGCAAGTGCTAGACAGCAGCCAAACAATTACAGTCCAGCTGCCGTTAGGTCTGTTCCAACTCATGTGACCCCATGTGTGTCGGAGTAGAACTGTGCTCAGAGGGTTTTCAATGGCTGATTTTTCAGAAGCAGATCACCAGGCCTTTCTTTCGAGGTGCTTCTGGGTGGCCAAGAATCTCTGTATTTTGGTTAGCAGCCAAGCACGTTAACTGTTCCATCCAAGGACTCCATATACCAGCCAGCACATCTTAAAAGCATACTAAGTAGTGTACATATTAGCGTACGTGCCTTATTCATTAAACAAAACACATCTGAGTAACTTCTCGAACAAAGCATCACGCTAGGTGCTGGAGTATAAGATGAGTAAGGCGCAGATCCTAAACCCTAGGACCTTAAAATCAAATGCAATTTACATACTTCAGTTCCTGCCATTTCAAGGATAGAGCAAACAGAAGTGTGTTGGGGGGCCTGATCTGGACCATACACTGGGCATATCTGGTTTGGGTGGACTGTGATTTTGTTCTCCTTTTTAAGAAAAGGTATCCCTGGGTGGTGCAAACAGTTAATGTGCTCGGCTACTAACTGAAAGGTTGGTGGTTCAAGTACACCCAGAGGCACCTTGGAAGAAAGGCCTGGTGATCTACTTCCGGAAAATCAGCCATTGAAAACCCTATGAGCACAGTTCTACTCTGACCCACAGGGGGTCGCCATGAGTCGGAATCAACTGGATGACAACTGGTTACTCGTTTTAGGACAAGGTAAAGGTATGAGGTGGGTGCCAATGTGATTCCTACCGCCAGGTCCCTCTCCTTTGGAATTTTCGTTTCCTGGCTTCCTCCCAGGGAAGCTCAACATGCAGAGCCTCGTGAAGTTGTTGGGCTTGCTTTTGGGTCCTCGGGGCTCACAGTTCTGGACCCTTCACCCCTATGCGTGTGTCTCATCCCCGCCAAGTTTGCTCTCATTAAAGAATCTGAAATTGATCACGTGAAAATGGCTGATACTGAAACCATTACTTTTTGGAGGCACGCCGCATTTTAACATGGTCCAAAGTCTTAAGATAAGGGAATGCAAATCTAGTGGCTGATTTTCAGGCATGAACCAGGGGGTGGGAGAGATTTACTCAGTGAAGTTTCCTCAGTAAATGTTCAAGTCACATCATGAGGAATCCCTGACTCAGTCTGCAAATAAGGATAGCTCAGATCCTGGCTGACAGGAAGCTAGACACGCTCCTCTCCTCTCCCTGGCAGATAACCCAATAGGCAGGGTAAGCACAGTGCTTACTGGGCTTACCAGATCATCTGTAGTGAACAATTTCACATGGAAAATTGTTCACTACAGATTAGTAAGTAAGCACAAGTAAGCCTGTGCTTACCTTGCTTATTGGGTCATCTGCCCCTGTCAGGAATTGGAAATTTGAAAAGAGGCTTTGATTCTGTAGGAAGGTGCTGTAAGTTGGGAGAGAGGCAGATGGCAGCCATACCTACAAGTCGAATTTTTGTTGTGGTGAAAAAATGTGAAATTTGTTCACTACAGATGATCTGGTAAGCAAGGTAAGCACCGTGCTTACCTTGCCTATTGGATAATCTGCCCCTGCCCTGACCCATCCACTTCCCCTCTAGCCTTGGGACCCTACCATTTGTTTTAGCTCTTGCCCCTCTTTTCTGTCACTCTTCCCTCAAATCATCTGTAATGCCAGCGTTGAGTAGGTGCAGGGGACACACACGAAAGAGTGATCTAGAACCTGCCCTGGTACAGCTTACAGGCCTGCTGGCTTATTCAATCACACAAACACTTTATTATGATTGTGTGAGTGACATGAGGCTAGAAGAGGCTACATGAGGGATGCCAGGCAGGTCTCCTTGAAGAAGTGACATTGTAGTTAAGACCAGAGAGGTGAATTAGCCAAACAAAAGGGGAAGGTGGGGTGGAGGCTGGGACTGGAGCAGAGGAAGAATATTCTAAGCAGAGGGAGCATCATGACTGAAGGCCCGCCCTGGAGGCCAGATGTCCTTTCTCTAAGTTAACAGTTATAGGAATGCTTCCTAGGCAAGGTGGGCATCAGCAGTGGTAGGAAGAAGCTTGCTTGGGAGACTAACCGGTCAAAGACAAAAAGGGGAGTTACTTTCAGAGAGAAGACTCAAGGGTGGGAATGAGTAATGCAACTAATGGAAGGGCAAGATGGGTGGGATGGCGAGAGTGGGAATTGGGTTCTGGGATTTACCATCATTGGACCTGGGGGACTGGGGGTTGTGGCTCAAGTGATGGGCAGTGCTCCTGAGAAGGGACAGGGGCTTGGGTGCTAGTTTGTGGCTGGAATCTAGAACCAGCTCTCCAGCAGATGGTCTATTCTATCCAGAACCAGATCTCCAGCAGAAGGTCTATTCTATCCAGAAGCAGCTCTCCAGCAGATGGTCTATTCTATCCAGAACCAGCTCTCCAGCAGGTCTTTATTCTGGTATTTATTCTATCCAGAACCGGCTCTCCAGCAGACGGTCTATTCTGTACAGAACTGGCTATCCAATAGACGGCCTATTCTGTCCAGAACTAGCTCAATATCAGTTGACCTATTCTATCCAGAACAGGCTCTCCAGCAGGTGGTCTATTCTGTCCAGAACCATCTCTCCAGTAAATGGCCTATTCTGGCCAGAACTGGCTCTCCAGCAGATGGCCTATTCTATCCAGAACAACTCTATATCAGATGGCCTATTTTGTCCAGCAGGTGGTCTATTCTGTCCAGAACCAGCTCTCTGGCAGATGGCCTATTCTGTCCAGAACTGACTCTCCAGCAGATGGCCTCTTCTGTCTAGAACTGGCTGTCCAGCAGATGGTCTATTTTATCCAGAACCAGCTCTCCTGGACAGCTTTCACACTGCTGAATATGACTGCTGCTTCCCATCAACTCCAGCTAGTGCTAGATGGCACCAATGTTCCCAGACAGAAATATTCCAGGATAGGGCCATTTCCCTGCACCCAGACATTCTGTTTACAAGTTTTGAGTACTTGGTATCAGCTAGTAGAGGAGTCTAATTGCTTCCTTGAAGGAGGTGGTCCATCCTACCAGCTTGGGCTGAGTTCCTGGGTCTGTCTTCTCTTTGCTGGACAAAAGTTTTTGGAACCCCGTCACGAATTCCTGGCCTTTTCAGGGAGAACATCCATGCTCCTGGAAGACCTTGTTTTCCAACCTCTTGCTCCCTCCTAGGGTAATTGAGCATGTCCAAGAAGCACTGCCAAGAGAGTTTAAACTGAGACCAATACTGCCAACATCTGGGATTTCCAGTGACTGAACTACTCTTCCTTCAACTCCTTGCACTGGAAAAGCACCATTACTAACCTATGCTTGGGATCTTCTCTCTAGATTTATACTTAGACCGAGTCTTTTCTCCTAATGCAGCTTTTTACATTTTATGGGCTAGATCTTCATTCTAATGATAGAAGCATAAAGATGTTCTCCCTATTTTAGTGAAAAACATAATAATCCATAGATTTTATGGCAAAATCTCTAAAGTGGTATAATAAACATATATTATTTTGCAAAAAAAAAAAGAAGGCCAAGAAAAATTTCACTGGATTTTTAATGCATATGTTCTGGTACCTTGCTTTTGAAAAAGAACATGTCTTCATTTAAAATGGATCATAGAGCAAGTTCTCCCCTTTCCACAATTACTGCTCCTTGGTGTTAAAGAAAGTATTAAATGAAAATGCTTAGAAAGTCAGAAGTAAGAAAATGGTGGCGTTGAAAGACATGTTTACCACCACTCAGGTCTGACCCTTTTTCTGTGGGAACAGATGATGAAGAAGCCCACTGCAGCCTATTAGAGATTTGTTTTCTTTGTCTCACTGTATTCCCATCAGCCTATCTTACTTTTACTACAGATTCAGAGTTCAGACAAATCCTCAGAGATCCACAGTGTCAACATGGTTACAGCAGCCTAATTAACTCATTATCATGGTAGGGTCTCTAGCGTCTAGTGAAATGCACAGACTTAGAAGGGACCACTCAGAGGGCCGGCTCTTGTTCATCTTCTGGTTTATGAAAGGCAACCCAAAGGGTGTCACAACAACGCAGAGATGAAGGAAAGCATTGCTCCTTTTTTTAATTCTTATTCTTATTATGACACATCACCCTCATGTACAAAATATCCCTTTGCTTGGGCAGACGTTCTAAAGTAACTTTCAAAAAACTATATTAATACTAAAAAATTATGAAATACTCATTGTTTAAAATACGGGGGAAAAATTGGTCATAATCCCATCGCTAAAAGACAACAACCAATATTTTGGTACTTTTTTTTCAGTATTTTTGTTCTATGCATACACATGAATATTTTATAATCTACATTATGCTTGATACACATTTATCTCTCACTTTCATGACTGATTTATATAACAGGCATTTATTAATGTTTAACTCTTTCATTCATTTAAAATTTGTTTTCGCATATAGAGTGATGTGAGAAACTTACGTTTGTCTAAAGAGCCATTCTTCTCATTTATTGAATATTTCATCAAATTCTCGTGGATTTTAAATAGTTTTTTTTTAAGATATTAATATAAAATAGATCTACTCCTTGTTATATACCCAATAGACTTGAAGACTCAGCCAGGGACTGAAACAGATACACGTACACCTATGATCACTGCAGCATTATTCACAATAGCCCAAAGGTGGAAACAATCCAAGTGTCCACCAACAGATGAATGGATAAACAAAATGTGGCACATCCGTACAATGGAATATTATTCATTCATAAAAAGAAACGAAGTTCTGATACATGCTACAGTGTGGATGAACTTGAAAACATTGTGCTGACTTATTTCAGACACAAAAAGGACAAATATTGTATGACCCCACTTATATGAGATATCTAGAGTAGGCAAATGCAGGAGCCCTGGTGGCGAAGTGGTTAAGAGCTCGGCAGCTAACCAAAAGGTTGGCAGTTCAAATCCACCAGCCACTCCTTAGAAACCCTATGGGGCACATCTCCTCTGTCCTATAGGGTTGCTATGAGTTGGAATCGACTCAACGGCACACAACAACAACAGGCAAATGCACAGAGACCAAAGTTATTAGTGGTCACCAGGGAATGAGGTGAAATTATTGGAGAATGGGAATTATTGCTGAAGAAATACTGAGTTTCTGTTTGGGGTGATGTAAAATGTTTGGAAATAGTGGTGATGGTAGCACAACATGGTGAATGCAACTAATGTAAACTTTTTGATATATATTTTACAATTAAAAAACAGACAAATATATATATACACACACAATCTAGAAGTTACCAAAAAAGATAAAGAAGAAAATAAAAGTAATGAATAATTCCACCGGAATACCTGCTGTGAACATTTTGGTATACTTATTTCCAGTCATTTACGCTGCTTTTAGACATTCCAGAGAGACTTCCATGCCCACAGACCCTTCTGAAGAGTTCCTTACATGGTTCCATGTGACCCATTGGCCTGGCCACAGGTGACTGGATAAAGGATGGATACCTGACTCAGAGGAAGCTAATCTATATACCAGCCTATAACCTAGAGATGTATCCCCAGAGGGGCACCCCAGAGCAGATGGTGACTGATCCAACCACTCAGATCTTTTCTTGGGAAACTTGTACTCAAGATCTACAGAGAGATGGTCAATTGTGTGGCTGGAGCAGCACAAGCAGGAACAGGAAGTAATGGAATGCCCACAAGAGCAGAGCCCTAAAATTTGTGGTTGAGAGCCTGCTGTAGTAGACATGGGGTCCTCAACTTACACATATTCAACTTTTGAAGCACACTTTGACATATTAAACACTGGGACCTTGAAATAGCCTTTCACGGGTTGGACATCAGCTAGTAAACATTTTGAAATATAGTATTGTGCTAATCAGTGATCTTGGCTGCCAAATACAGAACCTACTCTGGCTACTTTGAACATAAAAAAGGAGTTTGTTGGAAGGCTCTCAGGTGGTTTATAAAATTAACGGAAAACTAGAGAACCAGGCTTAAAAGCTGGGCAGGAACCAAGGTAAGCTAGGAACCAAGACCTCAGCCGAGTTGTCCACCACGAGGAAGACTGGCGGAGCATCATTGCTTGCACTGCCAAACCAGGTGCCTGGGCATTCCTCTGGATTCTTGATTCTTCCACCACTGGAGACTTAAGTAATCTCTCTCCCACTGTCCCTGCGTCTTTGTGTCACTCCCTCAAGAGTCAAAGTCCCAGATAGATGCTTCCAATTGTGCAAGTCTAGGCCATATAGCTGTGTCCTATCTAGAGGGACACCCCTTTAAATTCTACTGTGGGAGGTGGGGGCGTGCTTCCTAGTGTTGGGATCCCTCGGAAGCCTGCGAAGTCATGCACGACACGCCTTAACGAACAGCAGAAAGTAACCTATTTCGTCCAACGAAACTCAACTCACCTCTGCCCAGAATGTGATCCAAAGGGAGTTCCAACATAATCATCATAAAACTCAAAACCTTTCTGTGGTTCTCCTAACTGTGTAAAATAACATAGATCACTGGTGGTAGGTGCTGGTACTGGACCCCTGAAATTGGAAATTTAAAAAAAGCCTAAGGATTTTATAAAGATAGCAAGTATACACTTATGTAATACCTAAACACTGACCATTCTATGCTGTATAAACGCAAATGCCAATAAAATCTACCTGGAATAATGTAATGTAGCCACTCCTATGCGTTCACTTCCTAACTTGCCTTAGACACTGGCTTTATTACATGTTAATGTGTAGATCGAAGAAGTTTGTATTATTGTCAATATTCCTTATCCATTAAGCCATTAACATAGGTACATTATCCTCCTGGTGATTAGTACATACCAAAAAAACCAAAAAAAACAAAAACCAAACCTATTGCTGTCGAGTCAATTCTGACTCATAGCAACCCTACAGGACAGAGGAGAACTGCCCCATAGGGTTTCCAAGGAGTGGCTGGTGGATTTAAACTGCCAACTGTTTTGGTTAGCAGCTGAGCTCTTAACCACTGCACCACCAGGGCTCTGAATAGTACATATTGTATTGTAAACCTTTAGTCTGTTTATTATGTAGGCCCAGCAATGTAGCAACTGCTATAAAAATTGAAATAGATGTTTTCCAATTTTGTTTATAACGTAATAATTGGAAATGGTACCCCGATAAGATACTTCTAAAAAGTCTAACATCATAGTCACAACTAAGCTGGAAAGTAAAATATTCCATCTTCATCTATTCATATGTATCTATAAACTCGCCTGTTCCCCAGCATGCCTGGAAAGAGCCATTTACCACTGGTAAACAATAAACCCTGCTGTTCTTCACTCAGACTTGCTACACAGAACTGTCCGGTGCAAAGCAGCCCAGTAGCAAATAAACGTGAGCATGTTCAAGGCAGCTGCCCTTGTGGTGATCCATTCGGAGCTCGTATTTGGTGCTACTTGGTTTCTCTGTCCACAAAGCTTCAGTGGACACGATCACTCTGCTGGTCAGTGGTCACACAGGCTCCAGCTTCAGCTGCCCTGGGGGACACTGCCTAGCTTCTGGCCACCACCCTCCTCACCCCCCAGTAGAACTTGGTACACACCACTGTCTGTCCTTTGAATCAAACTATTCAAAGAAAGCCTACAAATGTAGGGAAAATTAATCTTTTTTTTTTTATACTTTAGATGACAGTTTACAGAACAAACTAGCTTCTCATTAAACAGTTAGTACATATATTGTTTTACGACAATGGTTAACAACCCCATGACATGTCAGTACTCTCTCTTCTCGACCTTGGGTTCCCTATTACCAGCTTTCCTGTCCCCTCCTGCCTTCTAGTCCTTGTCCCTAGGCTGGTGTGCCCCATTAGTCTTGTTCTGTTTTATGGGGCTGCCTGATCTTTGGCTGAAGGGTGAACCTCGAGAGTGACTTCATTACTGAGCTAAAAGGATGTCCGGGGGCCATATTCTCAGGGTTTCTCGAGTCTCTGTCAGGCCAGTAAGTCTGGTCTTTTTTTGTGAGTTAGAATTTTGTTCTACATTTTTCCCCAGCTCTGTCCAGGACCCTCTATTGTGATCCCTGTCAGAGCAGTCAGTGGTGGTAGCTGGGCACCATCTAGTTGTACTGGACTCAGACTGGTGGAGGCTGTGGTAGTTGTGGTCAGTTAGTCCTTTGGACTAATCTTTCCTTTGTGTCTTTCGTTTTTCTCATTCTCCCTTGCTCCTGAAGGGATGAGACCAGTGGAGTATCTCTGATGGCCGCTTACAGGCTTTTAACTCCCCAGATGCTACTCACCAAAGTAGAATGTAGAACATTGTCTTTATAAACTATGTTATGCCAATTGAGCTAGGTGTTCCCTGAGATCATGGTCCCCACAGCCCTTAGCCCAGTAATTTAGTCCCTCAGGGAGTTTGAACTTGTCTATGGAGCTTCCATGACCTTACCCTGAACAAGCTGTGCTGGCTTCCCCAGTATTGTATACTGTCTCACCCTTCACCATAAACTGACTTCTTTTATACGGTAGCAAATACACAAAAACTTAATCTTATTTATACTGATTGTCGTTAGCATGGCGACCTCGTGTGTGGCAGAGTAGAACTGAGCTCCACAGGCTTTTCATGGCTGTAAACTTTCAGAAGCAGATTGCCAGGCCTGTCTTCCAAGGCGCCTCTGTGTGGGTTTGAACAATCTTTTGGCTTGTAGTCGAGCGCTTAACTGTTCTCAATAAATAGCTTGAAATTGTGGACAATAAAAAGAACTGAAATTGAAAAAAAATTTTGATGACTTTTTAGATTTTGCTTTGTTGAATTATTGCATTCTTAACTTGACTAACAAACTAAAAAAAAAAAAAAAATGCTTGCTGGTACTATTAGTAACTTTTTCAAAACAGGGACTTGTCCTTTCTATGATTCACATTTTCTAAAAGGTCACACAGAAAGGAAAATCCAGTACACTGAAGCCTGAAACATTAAGAAAATAAACTGTAAGCATTTAATAACTACACTCTTATATGGTCATTCATGTTGAGTAAAACTGCAAGCCTACATGCTCTTCTTCATATGTAACAGTTACTAGCATAATTATTAATTATATTATTAATATATATTTAATGTAATATATTAATGTAATGTATTACATTTAGTATATATTAATATATAATATATTGAAAAATTTATTAAACAAGAATATACTATTAATAAGAAGTACA